GTGAAGCGATATCAGGACCAGGATTTCATTATCAAGTTTATGCAAGGTTTAAACGATGTCTATCAATCTGCTCGTACACAAGTGCTCATGAACTCTCAATTGCCAAGTATTGAAGCTGTGTTTAAGCAAATGGTACAGCTTGAGAGGGAGATGAAAGGTCTTAATTCTGCCAAGTCTGGAGTGAACTCACTTGCTTTGCTAGCTCATGGTGGTTCTCAGTCTAAACAAGGGTCACCACAAGGCAAGAATCCTCGTGATTATACTCCAGAGGGCAGAAAATGGTGGAAATATTGCAAGAAGGAAAACCACACCATCCAAGTCTGTTTCAGGCTTAAGAACAAGAAGGCTAGGGAAGGGTCTGATGGAGCACCCTTTGCTAGAGCTGTTGAGACCACAGGGAGTAAAAATGAGGGAACTGGTAATTCTTCACGAGCATCCACAGACAGTTTGGCCAACCTCCTTACTTCAGACCAATTTGAGAGACTCAAAGCTATGTTGTCTGGTTCACCTTCACCATCTCCTTCACCTCCCACTTCCCCTCATGTGCCTCGAGCTAATGTTGTCGTGTGAGCACCAGCACCTCAACCTTCTCACTTCACTGCCAGCACATCAAGTACTCACTCTTCTGCTAGCTTACCTGCTACAGTCTGGATTCTCGACACTGGTGCTACATATCATATTATCACCAACACCTCATCATGTCAATGCTACTCATATAGGAATAGTGCGTTTGCCTTGTGGACTTTTCTTCACCCAAGTTCTCTTTGTTCCAGCCTTTACTTACAATCTTGTTTCTGTAAGTAGACTTACCAAAAATCACCTAGTCTCATTGGTTTTCAAATCCAATGTTTGTCTAATTCAGGACCTTATTACTTGTAGGAGGATTGGTTTAGCCCAGGTGGATAGAGGTCTATACATGTTCTCTAATTCTCCATCTCAGCAGTTTGCCTCTTCTGACTCCCATCAATCCTTTGCAGTAGGAGTTCATCATTCTTCCCCTCAAGACTCAAGACATCTGGCATGCTAGGACATCCATCCTTGTCTAGAATGAGAGTTGTTAAGGAAGTTTTTAATGACGCTTCTTTGTTTTTGAACAAGCACTGTGAAGTTTGTCATTTGTCCAAACAAAAAAGACTTCCTTTCCCTACAAGCAACTATGTCAGTTCAGTTCCTTTTGCCCTCATTCACGTTGACATTTGGGGGCCTTTGAACACTTTCTCTCGAGATGGCTTTGCTTATTTTTTTTACCATTGTTGATGATCATAACAGGCTGTCTGGGTTTTCCTCATGAAAGCCTAATCAGAAGCCAAAACCATTTTACAATCTTTCTGTTTAATGGTCCAAAATCAAATTTCTACCTCCATTAAAACCATTAGATCAGACCAAGGCCAAGGCCAAGAATTTCACCTGGCTGATTTTTACAGAACTAATGGCATAGTTCATGAGATGAGTTGTGTTTACACTGCTCAACAAAATGGCCGTGTTGAGAGGAAACATCAACACTTGTTAAATGTAGCCAGGTCTCTCAAGTTCCAATCTGGACTACCCTTAACCTACTGGAGTGATTTTGTCCTCCATGCTTCCTATCTAATCAATCGAATCCCTACTCCCCTTCTCAACCGTAAATCACCATTTGAAATCCTTCATCATGTCCCTCCAGATTATATGAACCTGCGAGTCCTTGGTTGCCTTGCTTATGCAACCAATGTTGAGGGTCACTAGACCAAATTTGCACCTCGAGCTCGCAAATGTGTTTTTCTAGGCCTTCCTAATGGCATTAAAGGGTTTAAACTTTTGGACCTAGACACCAAAAAGGTTTTCATGAGTCGTGATGTCTTCTTCCCTGAGACCATTTTTCCCTTCAAGGATCCTGCTGACAGTTTAGTACCTTCTCCTTTCAACTCACCTCAGTTTTTCACTTCTTTCTTTGCCTCCAATTGTTGACCCTCCCATTGCAGTGTTTTATCCTCCAGCTGCTAGTCCTATGTCTTCTCCTTCTTCTGTGCCCTCCACTTCATACTCTCCTACTTCCCCTGAGCCATCCCCTTGTCAGTTCTCACACAAATCTGACTCTCCTGCACCCTCCAGTCCTTCACCCCTTCCTCTAGACCTTCGCAAGTCCACAAGGTCAATCATTTTTCCTCGCAAATATATTGACTTCTATGTTGGCATGAAATGAATCAAGTCAGTGTTGCTCCCAAGTCAGGCCCTCTTATTGCAGAACGGTCCCACCTTTCTCCCTCTTAGCAGCACTTTGCCATGACACTCTTGTCTAATAAAGAGCCATCTTCTTATGCTGAGGCAGCTAAGGATGAACGTTGGAATAGGGCCATGAATGAGGAAATTTATGCTCTTTATCCTAACCAAACTTGGGAGATCACTGACTTGCCCGAGGGAGTGAAGGCCACTGGTTCCAAATGGGTTTATAAAACCAAGTTTCTACCTGATGAATCAGTGGAAAGGTTTAAAGCTAGAGTTGTTGCTAAAGGTTACACACAGGTATATGGTATTGATTATTATGATACCTTTTCTCATGTGGCTAAGATCACCTCTGTTAAAATGCTCCTTGTTGTTGTTGCCACACAAGGCTGACATTTGCATCAAATGGATGTAAATAATGTCTTTCTTAACGATGAATTAGATGAAGTGGTCTACATGGAGTTACCTCCTGGCTTAAGGGATAAGACGGAATACAAAGGGAAGGCTTGCTGATTAAAGAAATCTCTTCATGGTTTAAAACAGGCTAGTAGGATGTGGTATTCCAAGCTTACTGAATCCCTTCTGCGTAATGGTTTTCAACAGTCTCTTGCTGACTACTCCATCTTTCTCTCTACTATCAATGGTGCTTTAGTGGTTTTCATCGTCTATGTTGATGGCATTGTTGTCGGGAGTGTTAATCTTGACGCAGTGAAGATAGATAAGACAATGTTGTTGAGTCTGTTTAAGATGAAAGACTTAGGTGAACTACACTACTTCCTTGGGCTGGAGATTAATCGATCCCCTGAAGGGATCCATGTTTGTCAGCGAAAGTACTATGTGGAGCTTCTAAAAAAGGTTGGTTTTGATGAGTGCAAGCTTGCTAAGACTCCATCCCGTGTCAAGCAAGTACTTTCTGCAACAGATGGAGAACCTTACCTGGACATTCCTACCATCAAGCATCTTCTCGGCCAATTGTGGTACCTGAATAGCACAAGACCAGATATAACATTTGTTGTGCAGCAATTGTGCCAATTCCAGGATGCACCCACTGTTGTCCACAATAAGGCTCTCCATCGGGTTTTCAGGTACCTTAAAAATTCACCAGAACATGGTTTGTTTTACCCTCGTGATTCTGCCATTCAGCTGCTTGGTTACAGTGACTCAGATTGGGCCACTTGCCCTGATTCACGAAGATCAATCACCGGGTTCTGCACTTTCCTGGGAAACAGCTTGGTGAGCTGGAAAAGCAAGAAGCAGAGCACGGTTTCTCGATCTTCTTCTGAGGCTGAATATCGAGCTTTGGCTCTTCTCAGCTGTGAAATACAATGGTTGGTTCGTTTGTTACATGATTTTGGTATTGATCATTCTCACCCAGCCACTGTGTTTTGTGATAACCAATCTGCCATCCACATAGCTCGTAATCTAGTGTTCCATGAGCGTACCAAGCATATAGAGGTGGATTGTCACATTATATGTGAGCGTTTGTAGAATGGATTGATTGATCTTCATCATTCGTCCACGACACATCAACTTGCACATGTTTTTACTAAGAGCTTGGGGATCAACCGGTTCAACTTTCTTTTGTCCAAGCTGGGAGTGTCAGGCAGACCCTCGCCTGCTTGCGTATTGGAGAACTAGATTGATCCCATAGCCCAGCAATGACCACAGTCTTTAGTTGGATTCCTCTATTCGTGGCTTCGTGCAGGTCATTGCTGAAGAAAAGAGACGAAACAGAGGAGGAAGATCTCTTAGTGGAAGCCGCACTTCACTGGAACGGTGTCGTTCACCTTCTATCCAGAAACGTTGTCGTTCCACTATCCAGAGAGTATTCGTTTATATTTAAACATAGTTAGTTGATCATTGGCCACATGTACATAAGGCATTGGTCATTTTGTTTCTCTGTTTTCCTTTATTGTAGATTAGTCGTTGCTAATCACAGAACTCTGTTTTGCTTCGTTGTACAGTCTTAGTATATAATGGAAATGCAGAAACCAGAAGCCTATTTTCTTCTCACCCGGAAAGGAGGCTACAAATGGATCCCAGAACTCTGCTTGATCACGCTCTTTTCCAGCTCACTCCAACAAGAACCACGTACATTATTGTTCCTTGGAATCCAATCCCCCACGCTTTTACGGTTATTTTCTCATCTGGGTAGTTACAAATTTCTTTATGTGAGATGCCTGGTCAATTTCTTGTTTTGGTGGGATAAGGTATAAGAGGAGGATGTTTGTCGGAGGAGATAAAAATTAGGGTTTTTTAATAGTTGTAAAAATGAGGTGAAAATTGTAAAATGATTAAATATTATTTTTTTCATAACATTTTAATTGCCACGTCATATATTTAACGGTCAACTATGAGAGTTGACTACCACATCATCTAAAGTTAACTAAGTTTGACGAAAACTGACCAACTGTGAATTGTTTGACTAAATCTAGTGACTATGAATAGATTTAAATATTTCGAGTGATCAAACATGAACGTTTTTCGTAATGTTAGTGACCAATCATGCAATTAACCCTCCGATTTTTATAGTGGCATTAAGGCAAAAGAAAAATTCATGAGATGTAATTGTACCAGCACACTGGGTTGTGTTTGGATTGGCACAGTATGGGTATACTTCAGGCATGTTTTCCTCATCCTGCACTTGACAAATGACAAAGCCTAGGCATGGCAATCGGGCGGATCGGGGTCGGATGTATATGGATCCGTTACCCGCCCGCTGGAACTTCGGGTTCGGGGAATCCCCGACCGAATGCTGTTATCGGATGTAAAATAGCAACCAAGCCCGCCCGTTTTCGGATGTCGGGTTTGTCGGGGACCCGGAACTTATCCGACTAGTTCATTAATTAAAAAACAACAACCAAATTCTTACGTGAAGCTGAAGCATGAACTTCATAACATCAAATCCAGAAACCAGAATGCACTGGAGAAGTAGCAAAAGAACAAAACATTCAACAGAAAACATCCAATCCTAAAATACCATCAAATCCAAAATGACCAAGACCATTGTATCAGCAAAACAAAAGTTTAAATAACTAGCAGAACATCTCTACTACTCGAGAACAGCTTCGATAGCAGCAGCAACACAGCAGCAAGATAAAGACTTCACTTCAGGCCTCCATACTCCACTTTCCAGCAGCAGCAACAATGCAGCATTCTGATTTCTGCATTCCTTGGTTCCACCCAGCAGCCAAGGCAACAAAACTCAAACAAAACCTGAAAAATGAGGAAAAACAACTGTTATTAAGGATCCAAATTCACAAATCATGAAATCAACTAAAGTACTAAGAGAAATCAAAAGTTTTTACTTACATCTTGCTGCTAAGTATCAGTTCACAAATCTTGATTAATCTTCAAGAAGCTTGAAACGAGGGGCTTGCTCTACACATTTAAACAAACTATCTCAATCTCATTGACATATATCAAAGGCTGGAAGAAATCAGACAACTGAAACAAGGTTTTTTGCTTATTACCTTCAGTAGTTTCAGCATCAGGTTGGAGCTGGACCAGATTGGCTTCACTTGTAGGGGAGAAACATCCTTCCAACACTCCTGCTCCAGCAGCAGCATCATCTACGAATGCAAGCCAAGTCAAAATAGTTACATAACATGCTAAAACAACAATGAAATTGAACAAAAAGATTAACTTAACAGGGTTAAGAGTTTACCTCCAGCCAACTCAGCTTGCAACCAACTTCTTGTGCACACAAGTGTTTCCACAGTAGCATGGTGCAACTTGCTCCTATGAGGGTCTAAAACACGACCTCCAGAGCTGAATGCACACTCAGATGCGACAGAGGTAACAGGAACAGCCAAAACATCCCTTGATATGGCTTGCAAAGTGGGATATTTTGGACCATTATGCTTCCACCACATTAAAATATCAAACTCAGCAGAACGAGGGAGAATTTCCTCATTGAGGTAACTGTCCAACTCAGTATGGACAGAAGTAACCCTTGCCCTTTTTCTTTGGCTCACAAATCGATCAAAGTCCAAATCAGTGGTGCTAGGAGCAGAGGACTCAACTCCAACATACCCAGAAACATTCAGATTCCTCTCCTCATTCATTTTACTTTGGTACTCCAATACCAGATCAGATAATATGTCCTTAACAGATTCCAAACAATAGCCATCAAATTCAACACCAAATTTTTCAGCATAGTAGTCAACAATTTCCAACTTATACCGTGGATCTAGAATCACAGCAATAGCAAGGACTTTGTGAATCTCGTCCCAGTACTTGCTGAATTTTTCCAGCATAGAATAACCCATCTTTTGAATAACTTCATTGGTATCAACACACCACTCATGAATCTTGAGTTTCAACTCACAAATACGAGGGAAGAACAGATTAGTCGTTGGATACTTCGATCCAGAGAACAAATCAGAGATAGAGCTAAAAACTTTAAGTTTCTCACAAACAAGTGCAGCAAATTGCCACTGCTCATTCGATGGCAAGAAATTATATTGAGCATCACGTTGCTTCAGTCTATTGAAAACCTCCTTGTAAGGAATAGCAACAGATAGCATTTTAAAGGTGGAGTTCCACCGAGTAGGGCAATCCATAACAAGTCGTTTCTCAGAAGTGAATTTTAACTGCTTTGCAGTTTCAAGGAAGAACCCTAGCCTTTTAGGGGTAGCAGACCAGTAAACAACACTGCTCCTAATGTTATCAATTCCCTCTTTAACAACATCCAGACCATCTTTCACAATCAAATTCAAGATGTGAGCAGCACACCTCATATGTATCAAAGCACCATCACTTATCAAGTCAGGTAACACTAATTTTGACTGTATGACACGAATCATAGAGTCATTAGTGCTACAATTGTCTAGGGTAATGGTGGATACCTTACTGTCGACATTCCAGTCGAGCAAACAGTTAACCAACACTGTCCCCAACCTTTCAGCAGTATGAGGTGCTGGTACATATGCAAATCTGCACAAGAACGAGCAGACAAAGAAACAATTGCAATTAGGAATGAAACACAAACTAAGAAACAGAAACCAATGATTCAAATAGATACAAACTACATGTCTTACCTAAGCAAATGGCTCCTAAGCACCCACGAGTTGTCAATATAATGAGCTGTAACAGCCATGTACCCCTTCTTTTGATTGGTGGCAGTCCACAAATCAGTAGTTATTGCAATTTTACCTTTGTTGATATCAAACAGACTTTGAATCTTAGCTCTTTCAATATCATAGATCTTAAAGACCTCTTTCTTTATAGTATTCCTCGATGGAACCGTGAATAATGGTTGAAGAGAGCAGACAAATCTCTTGAAATAGAGATGATCAACCATCGATAAAGGATATTCATGCATTGTAATAGCAATTGCAAGCTCCCTTTTTGAAAAATCAGAGTTGAAAGCAATAGCAACCAAGTCTTGATTCCCTTTAGCCAAATAGTGAGGGCCGAGAATCTTTTGACTACCATCCCTAATTTTCTTCTAAACACATATTTTGGTGTGATTCTTTAGGTGGGTAGTACCATTATTTGATTCCCCACCTAATTGCTTCTTACAATAATTGCATTTAGCCTTGACAATTCCATTAATTCGAACTTTGGTATAGTGTTGCCAAACAACACTCTTAAGCTTACCAACGTCGAGTAATTCCTCGACAACATTACCATTCCCAGCATTGCCATTCTGCTCATTTGTAGTTGCTGCCTGCGGAGTTGGGCTTGTGGCAGTCCCATTTCCAGTAGGTGCAGACAGAACTGGATTTGCACTATTGCCATTATCTTGTGCAGTGGGTTGAACTCCCTCTGTTGACATTGTTCCTGCCGAAAAAACAGAGGAACAAGGATTAGTAGTATATCAAACAACTCCCTCAATCATTAACCAGCACCAATGATCAAAAGTGAAACAAAGAAAGTGGATATTTACCTTGAACAAACAGAGTGAGGCTCGCACGCACAAGGCCACAGACCAAACAAGCAGTAAAAGGATGAGAAGTTAGTCTGAGAACTGAGAAACATAGTACAGAGATTGAGACTTGAGAGAAGTATGAACAAAAAAATAAACCCCACCTCGTATTTATACTCCAACTTCAATCTCCAGCCGAATCGACTATTCGACTTCACTGCGAGAAATTCTCTTTGCATGCGGCAAGCCATGATCGAAAGGGAAATGATTATCATCATCGGGAAGGAAAGCGGATAATCGATGGGAGATATGCGACCGATATGTTAGGGATTCGATGCAGCGGGAGCAATCGGATTGCTAGAATCTAGCCTAGGGTTGGAGGCGGAGAAGAAAATGGGAGAGGAAGGAAGAGACGAAGAGTTTAGTTGAGGGGAGTAATCTAACCTAGGGTTTCTGATTAGAGGGTATATATATGTACGGGGCGGAGTCGGGGCGGATAGTTTCGAGTCCGAAGCCCGCCCGAAGCCCGTTTCTCTTATTCTCGGGTTAATCCGAGTCCGGCCCGGTGCCCATCATCAACGGATTTTGCCTGATTTTGTCGGGTCGGGTTCGGATCGGATTTTCGGGTTTCGGTTCAATTTGCCAAGCCTAACAAAGCCTGTCACTTTTCATTTTATGTCAAGTCAGCCACATTAGAGTTTTATTTCGGTTAATTTCATACCCATACACGATTTATTGTGTCATGTCTATTTGTGCTTGTGTTTTGCTTCTTCTTCTTTTTTTTATATCATGGCCATAATAATTGATCCCGTATACTTAAAATGTGGAGAATTGATCAAGTACGATAAGTCCCGATTCTATTTGCTATGGGTTTCGATTGCTGCAAGGTAATGCCCCGTATAACATCGGCAAGCCATTTTTCCTAATCCAATTCGCACACGGACACACAGATTATGATAAATACGTTTGCTGCCCCCAATACTGATCATTGATGACTTCGATTAATTCTAGTCCGACGCCAATGGCGGAGGAGACCGGAAGCAGAGACTGGGCGTGGCTCCCGGACCACATCCTCGACTCGATCCTAAAAAACCTCGCCTCCTTACAAGACTACCTCTGGTTCAGCACCGTGTGCAAGCCGTGGCATGCCGCGGCCGAGGCCCAAAAGCGACGACGTATCGCCACCAGCCCCCAGAAGCAAGTCCCGCTCCTCTTGGTCCCGACCCAGGACCGCAGCCACGAGTGGCGCAGTCTGTACTGCACCACTCGCGACGACAGGCTCCTACCAACAAAGCTCCGAATCCCTTGGCAGTACAGAAGGTGCTGCGGTTCCTCCCACGGCTGGCTCGCTTTCGAAGAAGACGACTTCGGCATCACCCTCTACAACCCATTCACAGGAGCTCGAATCTCTCTACCTCCCGTCACCCTCTACAACCCATTAACGGGCGCTCGAATCTCTCTACCCGTCACCCGCAGCAGCAGCAACTTCCGGACCATCGAATACCACCGCCTGAAGTCCCAATACTTAGCCAAGAAAGTGGTCTTGTCTGCCGACCCTTCAACACATCCTCAAGATTATATGGTCGCCGCGGTCCTCAAGTACGATGGATTCAGAACTCTTGTCGTGATCAGGCCAGGGAGGGATGATCAAAATTGGACCCATTTCACCCAGTGGACAAACTCGACTTGCCTTCAGGGCTGGCCACTGTTAGCTGAATTGATAGTTCATGACGGCGACTGGATTTACGCGACGGGGGATGGCGGGGTGCTCGCACGTGCGAACGTACAGGGCGTTGGTACAGCGGACTACCAGCCGCGGTTGGAGCTCGTGGTTCCAAAGTGGTGCAACCCACTGCCAACAATGGCACTACACTACATCGTGGAACCGTCAAGAGGAGATGAGCTGCTAATGATTGTGCGCTGGTTCGAAAATATAGGAAACAAATACGGAGTGGCTACGAGGCTAACCAATGACATTAAGGTGTTCAAGCTGGTTGGCGATGGTGGTGGTGGTGTGGTTCGAGTTTTCTAGAAGTGGAGGATCTGAATGGGGATGCTGTGTTTATTGGGGACAGCCATTCGGTTGCCATTCCAGCAACAGAGTTTGAAGGTTGTGAGGCTGATACAGTGTACTATACCGAAGACCACGAGGATGTTGCCCATAACTACGACCAGGATGATATCGGCAAGTTCAACATCAAGAATAAGAGATTCAAGGGTAAGAAATTCCGCACCCACCATGTTCTTAGCAAAGCTCCGGATAGTGAGATGCCGCATCCAATCTGGATCTTTCCTACGCTTAAACAATCGTGAGCAAGATCCAATCATGTAGTGCCAACTCTTCAATCTGTCTACTATTCATAAAACAATAATCTTTCATTTGTCAATCTTGTTTAGCACCGAAATAAACTAGGAAAGATGATGATGTTCAAAACCCTCTCTCACTTCTTCTTTTCGCCTGCACCTCCAGACCTGTAAACAAGAAGATACAAACTCAATCAGTTTCAATTTTCAGAGTATCAGAGCTCGCCACCATAGTCCTACCTAAATTTCATTCATGAATCATGAGGACATATCTGATTACAACAACGCTATGAATGTTCGAAATGGCATAAAGTAAAAAATAACGATATATAATCATCATCCATCAGTGGTATTACATGTGCGCTAAACGTTCATTAGCTAGCAAATGCTGTCAGCTGAGTACAGCAGCAGAAGAAGACATGTGCCAAGTTCCAATGGTGGTTAAGAAACTAGCAGCAATGATCTTAGGAATTAAGTAACAAGGAACTAATAATCATGGTCAACGTCTAAAGCAAACATAATGGTATTAAACTCAAAAAAGGGGTTAATAAATCTATTAGCCCTTATGGCATTGGTTCAATCTTAGAAGACAGAATATATGACCTTTTGAGGTAAGGACGCACATTCTGAGGCTGAGCAAACCGAAGCATAGGATGATGTTTTCTACCAATCAAAATCTCAGCTAAACTGAAATGGCGGATGCCCTTTTTTCCTTTCCATTTCAATCCCTCACCATGATTACCAAACAAGCACCCAATTCTTATAATTCAAATACCTCCATTCTTATCTCTAAGAATCCGAACTTCCAACCGGCCCATAAGCTAAAACCAACCAAGAAGGAAGGAGCCAGAGCTCACTCACCTCATCTTGCGGAGTGCGGTGGACATCTCCTCTCTCTTCTTCTTGGCCCTCTTGTGGGTTCCGAGCTTTCTCTTCGCCAGCTTCAGCGCCCTCTTGTCTTTCCCGACCTTCAAAAGCTCCGTGATTCTCTTCTCGTACGGTGCGAATCCAGCAACTTCCCTGATCAGGTTCCTGACCAAATGCACCCTCTTGCTCGTTTTCTTTACATTCCACACCGAATCCAATATCCAGATAAGAAACATCGCAAAAATCAGAATCCATGTATAGCAGAGCGATAAAAACCAGGCGAAAGCAACAATGAATCAAACAACAGTTAAGTATAAAGAACGGGTTAATTCAATTACCCCCTTTCTGTCGGACGGACGAGCCGGCAAATCGCGCTTCGTGACGATATGCCCTTTGTTCAAACCGACGGCTAAACCACTCTTCGCCGCTGGAGCCATTTTCCTACTGGCAAAAACTAAGTTCAGAGCACTCTCTATTCTCTTCTGAAACCCTAGCTATCGGCATTTATTTATTTATATATATGTAAGCCTGAAGCACGGCGTATTTCCGCGAGCGAGAAAGAACTTGCCGCCGGAATATTGGGCTTTAAGCTCTGGGCCTCGGGCCCGTGCTGGAATACTTTTGGGCCACTAACTAAGATTTTTCATTTTTCAACGCATTGACTTGAATTGACAGTTGGGATTTGCTAGTATAGCGCGCTGCACGAATCTCTGTACCGAATTACAGGAACCCAAAAACCTTTCTTACTTTCCCTTCCCATTTCTTCTCCCAGCTATCTGTTACTTCCCTCTCCCACTCTCCAGGACTCCTCGATCTCCTCCCGCCAAATCTCGCCGTCTCTCTGCCTTCCGATCATGCCGGAGCTGGCGGAGACCTACGCTTGCGCGCCGTCGACGGAGCGCGGAAGAGGAATTCTCATCTCCGGCCATCCCAAGTCCAACTCCATCCTGTACACAAACAACCGCTCAGTCCTAATTCTCAACCTCGACAACCCTCTCGACGTCTCCGTCTACGGCGAGCACGCCTACCAGGCAACCGTCGCTAGATTCTCGCCCAATGGAGAGTGGATCGCCTCCGGTGATGCTTCCGGCTCCGTCAGGATCTGGGGGGCCTACAACGACCACGTTTTGAAGAAGGAGTTCAAGGTCTTGACTGGCCGGATCGACGATCTTCAGTGGTCCCCTGACGGGCTCAGGATTGTTGCCGCAGGCGACGGCAAGGGCAAATCGCTGGTTCGAGCTTTCATGTAATTCCAATTCTCCACTCTCTTTCTTTCTTGCGTTTCTCGGAAATAGCCTTTTTCTGGACTCTACTGGTTTGGGTTCAATACGGATTTCTGTACCACTCGTAGGTGGGATTCGGGCACAAATGTCGGGGAATTCGATGGGCATTCCAGGCGAGTTTTGAGCTGTGCGTTTAAGCCGACGAGGCCGTTTCGAATTGTGACTTGTGGGGAGGACTTCTTGGTCAACTTCTATGAAGGGCCTCCATTTAAGTTCAAGCTTTCTCACAGGTGTGTTACAAGCTAGCTAGTTGCTTTAGCTTTTGATGTGAATCTCATGGATGATTACACCTCTAAAGAGCAAATGTAGTGAGCAGCCTTCTGTTTGTGAATGTTCAGGGATCATTCGAATTTCGTCAATTGTGTAAGATTTTCCCCAGATGGTAGCAAGTACATTAGTGTTAGTTCTGACAAGAAAGGACTCATATTTGACGGAAAGACTGCTGAGAAGATTGGGGAATTGGCTTCGGGGGAGGGTCACAAGGGCAGTATCTATGCTGTTAGCTGGAGTCCTGATAGCAAACAGGTAGCTAAGGTCTTAGCTCGGTGATAGAGCTAATTGTGATATCTCTAGATCCTACTACGGCATAGCTGACTAACGTGCCCTTTCATTTAGTTGCATTCTTATCTACTTTCATTGGCTATGGATTATTGATACTGATATTTAGACTTACTTTTACGTGTAGGTGTTTACTGTTTCTGCTGACAAGTCTGCAAAAGTGTGGGAAATCTCTGGCGATGGTAGCGGGAAATTGAAGAAGACATTGACTTGTGGAGAATCGGGTGGAGTTGATGATATGCTAGTTGGTTGTCTTTGGCAGAATGACCATCTTGTCACAGTTTCTCTTGGGGGCACAATTAGCATTTTCTCTGCAAGTGATCTTGATAAGAGTCCTGTCCAAATATCTGGACACCTGAAGAATGTTACTTCTTTAGCTGTCCTTAACAGTGTTCCCAAGACTATACTGTCTAGTAGCTATGATGGTTTGATAATTAGGTGGATTCAGGGAACTGGGTACAATGGTAAATTGCAGAGGAAGGAAACTAGTCAAATCAAATCCTTAGCTGCTATTGACGAAGAGATTGTTACTTCTGGATTTGACAATAAGGTATCTATTATCTAAGATCCTTCTCTGCCCTGTAAATAAAATTTCTTGATTTATAAAGTCCAGCTATCACTTATTTTAGGTGTTTCCAATACTTTTCTTTTTTCAAGCAGAATGCAATTGTATGATCGGATGGTGAATTTGAAGAATAGTTGGTTTTAGCAGGCTTATTGTTGAATTAGATTAGCATTTCATAGAGATCTTTAATTGTTGATTCTGCACGAGCATTTCATTTACTTGGTAGGCGTATTGCTGGAACATCTTCTTTTTGTGCTTTCTAATAACAAGATAGGACAAATGATTAAATGTTTACAAAATTAAACAAGTAAGTTCTCTGTGGTATAGTAGACAATTATAAATAATGCAGTAAGCTAGCATGTTAAGCGGACCAATTTATTAAATGTTTGGCAATTCATAGTACGCATTAGGTAGTCTGCTATTTTGTTAGCTAAATGACTGATAGAGTGTCATATTAGAATTCATGTTGATTGAGTTATGAAGATCATTTCTTATGTTGGGGGCAGAGGAGGTAGTTTAATCAGAAATTCCGTGTAGTCCAACATAGGAACTAGATTTATGAGAAGTTGTTGAATGAGCAAAACTTCCTCACCTTTATATTTCTTTCGTGTTCTTTCGAATTCAAGTCCTTGTGGCAGTGCCTCTTTTTTTCTAGGAGAGCCTCAGGCGTATATCTAGCTCATGTGCTACTATTGAGTTGTATACAATCAGTCTAACTGTTGAATGACTATATCCTTATTGGCAATGATATTTATTTTTGCATTCCACTTTATGGCATTCCAATATTGCATTCAAGTATATAATTTTCCTTGGTTGAGCCTTGGGGCTTGTCCATCTCTGAGCAGGGCTCAATCAGTTCTTCCATTTTACTGAGTTAATTTTTTTAGTCCCATGATAGCTTCATATTACAATCAGTGTGATTTTTTCTGCTTCAAAAGTTCCTCGTAGATCCGCTCTTGATTGATTTATTGCTATCATTGACTAGATATGGCGAGTTAAGTTAAGTGGAGATTCAGATTCCGTCGACATTGGGAGTCAACCAAAAGACTTCAGCCTTGCTCTTAACTGCCCCGAGCTAGTTTTGGTCACAATTGATTCTGGTGTTGTCATGCTTCATGGTACAAAAGTTGTTTCAATCATCAATCTTGGGTTTCCCGTAACTGCATCTGCAGTTGCACCAGATGGATCTGAAGCAATCATAGGTGGGCAAGATGGCAAGTTGCATGTCTATTCTATCAGAGGTGATACACTTACAGAAGAAGCTGTGCTTGAAAAGCATCGAGGTGCTATCACTGTGATTGATTACTCTCCAGATACATCCATGTTTGCTTCTGGTGATTCAAATAGAGAAGCTGTGATTTGGGATCGGGTCTCGAGAGAGGTAATACTTTTGACTGTTAATCTTGTGCCTTGGGTTGCAAGTGTTTACTTTCCTTTGTATTTTTGTTCTGCCTGCATGCATCAGATTGGTCTCAAGAGGTTATAATCTTGGGCAACCAAACCTGACCTTCCTTCTTACATGAAGCTTCAAACTCTTTTGCTTGATGTCCACATAGCATCAAAATACCTAATTTCCGCTCTTCAATCTTCTATTTATTCTCCCTTTAAATCCTTTTAGATTGGTCGGACTTCTAAGCTATTGGTTACATATATGCTTATATGTTGTATTATATTGCAGGTGAAGCTCAAGAACATGTTGTACCACACAGCCCGGATAAACTGCCTATCCTGGTCTCCCGACAATCGGATGATCGCCACAGGATCACTCGACACATCCATCATCGTATATGAACTGGACAAGCCAGTTTCTAGTAGGATGACCATCAAGGGAGCTCACCTGGGTGGGGTTTATGGATTGGCTTTTGTTGATGACTGCAGCGTGGCAAGTTCTGGAGAGGATGCTTGTGTTCGTGTTTGGAGGTTAACTTAACCCCTCACGGAAAAGAACATTGAAGGGATCTCCGCAGGGTTGAAGTTGAATGGAATCAAGCTTGTGCTTATCCACCTTGAGTTGTGTTGGAATTTCGTGTGCTAGCTTAGCTGACAAGCTCTCTTGATCAGGTTACAATTGAACAGGTATGCCAACAGCAGTACGAGTGTCTGTCCGTAGGTTGTTGTAAAGTAGTGTTCCAGGTGACTCAACCAATTGTTGGAATGTCTGGATGATGCATACTTGAGTATGAACGCGTAGTGTTGTACAAGCGTGATTGAGCTATATGCAGTTTGGGAGTCGGGGGAAGGTTGAACCCGTTTTCATTGGTGTTCTGGCTTTCAGGGACAATGCCTGGGTATGGTTCCGTATTTCTGTGTGGCCGTGTGGTTTGCTGGCAAATGTAATGTGAGCTATATTACTTTCCTGGTCTTGCCTCTTCTTACGGTTTGTTGTGTTTTCTGGTTCGTTGTCTGTTGTATGTATCAAAGAGAGATTCAGAGTTTGGGTTCCATTCCAAGGAGACAACTATTTGAGGGCTTTTGCCTTGTTATGGGAGTGATAATTGTTTGTTGTTTCAGCTATTTATTTAATTGCAAAGCTTCACTGATGTTGCTGGCTAGAAGAAGTGAAAGCATTTCTTTCTTTGGGAGATAAATGTGTGGTGATAAGTAGGGGTGGCTATTTGGTCCGGGTTTTTTGGTTTTATCCGAAACTGGATTAAATAACCAAGATCGAGATTGGACCGGGACCTGATAGCAAACAATCCAATCTTGTTCGGGATCGGACTGAAAACTGGATAAAGACTGGATAAGAGAACCCAACACTCAAAACTTAACTAACTCCTCATCCTTTCAGGTCTCAGTAGGGTTGTTAATGAGCCGAGCTGAGTCGAGTATTGCCTTGTTAATGTTCGACTCGTTTATTAACGAGCTGAGTCGAGTCGAACACGAGCAAGCTCATTTATTAAATCTTGACACGTCGTTAAGATCGAAAGTTCGGCTCGAGCTCAACTCTTAGATAATTTATAATATAAATACCCTAATATTTATATGTCATATGTGATACAAGTGATTACCTAATGTTATGTCATATATGAGACGTATTTGCTTACATATACTCAATGCATTAAACACTATATGAGGTGATATATACAATTTAATTATTATATGCATCATTAACAAACCAACTCATAAAATATAGATTGATTTTCTCATAAACTGCAGTCGAGTTAGCTCTCTAGCCACAATGTTAGGACATCTCATAAGCTCAAAACGAGACAGTTCATGAGTTGTATTAAACGAGCCACCTAATCGAGCTAGTTCACGAGCCGAACAAGGTAGAGCTTTTTTTTAATGGAACGAGCTTTTATCGAGTTCGAGACCGAGCCGCTCACGAATAGCTCGGCTCATTAACAGCCCCATCTCAGGTCGCTCAAATCCTCACAAGCTCAATTTAAAATCAAGACTGAATTGGGACCGGACTGTATCCAATCCAATCTTTGGTCTTTATTATTTGGAAAAGACCGGACTGAAACCGGACCAATTCGGGCCAATTTAACCGGACCGAACCGTATAGCCACCCCTAATGATAAGCAAGGTTGTCGATCCGGTTGAGCTAGTCCCCCCTGTGGAGCATCTTTTTCTTTCATTTCTCTTTCTGAAAAATCTACTAGTTCGAATGCCTTTAACTTTTCACCAAGAGTGAATGAGATCCCTCCTCAGATGTACAAAAAGTTCACAATCAACAAGAGAATCACTGTCAAAGCAGTGATTGGGTTGCGCGGTCTCTAGCTAGATCGACTCTCCCAGTTAACTGGATTAGTGTTCTTAATCTAATTTCTGATTTCCTTTGAGATTTGTAATCGTTTTCTTCGTATTGGTGTTGGAATAAAAGATGATTATTACTGTAAAAAAACAAGAGAATCACGAATTCAGAGAGAAGTGCAATCTCCTAATCTCAATAATCGACTGAGAAAAGATTTATCTTGTCCCTTAATCCATTTTCTTAATGATAATATAACCAAACGATAAGGGTATAACAAGATCCTCATTGCCGTGGTTAAATCCAATAACGTCATTTTCATTATAGGACCCGGGTTGACTAGTGTTATCAGGAGCACGTGAAAACGGGGTGTCGTATTGCTTGCCCAAAATTTTGGCTCTAGGTAAGGGGAATCTCTGACGGTCCCATGACTCATTATTGAGTGAATCCGACTGCAATTTACGAGAGCGAGAGATATATCTCTTCCGTTCCGTTCCGTGAGTCCACATGTTGGATGTCCGTTTCTCTTTTATTAATTACTTTGGTCCCTCCATTGATTCCACCTTCCGCTGTACAGAATTGAATAATTGCAGTTGAATTCTTTGTGTTCTTAACGTTTCTCCTTAGCATATCTTACGGTAATGATCTTTCTTCACATTCACACGTTGCCCCGTTTTGAACCTCATTTGTTTCGACGCAAGCAAACTCAACTCAACTCAACTCATGATGGCGAGTAGAAGAATAAGTTAGTAATGTACTTGGACACGTGGCCGGGTATGTATGATTGTTTTGTTTGTCTAGATTAATACTTAGCTTGGGTTCGGTTTAACTTGTTTGGTTAGTTTGGTTGGGTTATGAGGTTTTCTGTAACATTTTTTTATTTGAGTCCTTTGGCTGATTGTGTGCGTTGGATGTCTGAACATGAACAATACAAGAGTAGACGGATTTAACATTTTGCTATTATACCGTGATAGTTGAATATGAGTGACTTTTATTCTAGCAAGAGATTGCTCTAAAAAAATATAGGCCTACAAATACTCATCTTGGAAGATCACATTTTGTTATATATAGTTGAATTGGGCGATTGATTTGAAAAAGTATTTCAATGATGGTGACTATTGTATAACCTTTTTTCAAAGCCCGGTAGCCATTTCGTTACCTATCCCAGCTTGCTTGAGTAACTATTTTGGCCAATTACCCTTATACACCACCCACCGTATAAGAACACTCCACTTGAAGACATTCTTGGACTTAATTTGTGGGTGACACAGGGGACCATGGACCATACTCAAGTTGTTATTCAACTTGAATTTTGCTATCATTCTTAAGAGGTACGCATCAATCACGTCAAAATCAACACATTTAATCAACGTATTACCGGTAATCTTAATTGTTGGATGCATGCGATGACATTATTTTTATAAACAGACATCGAATATATCCATCCAACGTACTAAAATCACGAAGCTACTCGATCCGACGATAATAGTTGCGTACACCTTCACCATTTCAACCATAGATTGATTGAACTCGAAATCAGCAAAAGTGACTGATACCAATAAAAACAAAGGATGGCTTCTTCACGCACTGCAAAACACGACCAAGGGTTAATGTACATACCAACAAGAGAACGGAAACTAATTAGTCCAAACAAACAAGATCCACCACCCGAACCCGAACCATGTAGCTAGGTAGACCTGGCAAGAATAATCCAATCCATTAAATCAATCCAATCCAATCCATTTAAATTGATCCAAATCCATTTAAATTGATCCAAATCCATTTAGTCCAAATCCATTTAATCCATGGATAAATGGATTGGATTCATGGATATCCACTAACCTAAACTGTACGCTGTCCAAAAAGAAAAACAAAACAGATCTATTTACCCTTATTCTAACAAAAGACTCTTCGCCTCCAAATCTGAAATTCCGATTCTGAACACCACTTGATCCAATCCATGGATCCACCAATCCATTGGATCCAATCCATTGGATCCATGGATCCAACAATCCAATCCACTAATCCATTAATCAATCCATTTGCCACCTCTATAGCTAGGCTAGCTAGCTAGCCAATTAATATCACTTGACACGTACGATTGAATGTGTCCCTCTACAATAAATAACCTCTCCGTCACTCCTCCATTTCTTCTCATCTCTCTCCCTCTCTCTCTAGTCATCTTCTTTCTTAATTGTACGCAGTACTAGACCGAGACTGAAGATGAGAGGCGGCCGATCTAATTCTCAGCTGCCTCCCTACTGCTGCCTTCTCCTGCTGTTGTCTACAGCCGCAACATTCCAGTGCTGCTGCAGCGCGCTCGCCCCGCCGTCGGCGGGCGGCGCGTGGGAGATGAGTAAGGTGGAATTCGACACCGGAGGGCTCAGCCGGAAGAGCTTCCCCAAGGGCTTCCTGTTCGGGACCGCCACGTCAGCTTATCAGGTCGAAGGAATGGCCAGCAAGGACGGCCGTGGGCCCAGCATTTGGGATGACTTCATCCGCCGTCCCGGTGCGCTTTCCTCTTCTATCTCATATCATATATACATTTTTTTTTCTTCCAATTTTTATTTTGTCATTTCATCCAGATCGGTAGAACCGGGTTCAACCATATATGTTGCAAAATCGGTTGGAATGTTCTCGATTCGATCTTCAAATAAAATGAGCTGGCATAAATTAATTGTACCACGAGTCTAAGCATATAACTTGTCAAACTGACATTACGACATGAAGCGATTTCACAACCATGTTAGTCTTATAATTGTGAAATAATCGGAACGATAAAATTAGTGATAGAATATTTTATACGAATATGTAGTTCTACCGGTATATACAGCTAAAACCGTCTATAATTTGGGGTCGAGTATCTGGAATTTTCGATCTAACCAGCCAATACCTAGAGTTTTATAAAACGTTGCTATTCTAATTCTACTGCAGGGGTAGTGGCCAATAACGCAAACGGGGAGGTCGCCGTCGATCAGTATCACCGCTACAAGGTACGTTTTCCCGACGGGCTTTTTCTTTAGCCCATTGGGCTTCTTAACTTAACTTAACATAACCAGTACGCGAATCCTTTTTCCCCCTTATGATACCCATACTAACCATTCTTTCCGCAAAGAGGCACATATTCATCTCTCTTACATGATTTGAATAGAAACTTTTCATTTGTTGGATGGTGGTATAGGAAGATGTGGACATCATGGTGAAGCTGAACTTCGATGCCTACAGATTCTCCATTTCCTGGTCAAGAATCTTCCCAAGTAATTAGCTACACCATTCGATTACTCGTCCGAAAACAATTTCAATGGAACTGAACTACTTCTCTCGATTTTGTTGTGTTTGGGTGTCCTTACGAGTTGAAAATGCAGATGGAACGGGAGAGGTGAACGAGAAGGGAGTTGCTTATTACAACAGGTTGATAGACTACATGGTATCAAAAGGTACAATTTTTAATTTCATTTTCCAACCAGGAGATTTAAAAAATGACATTTGAGGCCGCCCCTTGTTAATCCATATAGTCTGCGGATTATGGTATGAATTTTGTAGGTATTACTCCGTATGCAAACCTTTACCACTACGACATGCCTCTGGCGCTGGAGAAGAGATACTTGGGATTGTTGGGTCGCCAAGTTGTGTGAGTACTCTCTTCGAACGCATTCGTTGCCTTCTAGTCCAGTGATATCATGTCAAAATATGTTCCTGCAAGTAATCGGGTTTTCGATAAATTTGTTTAGGAACGACTACGCGGATTATGCAGATTTCTGCTTCAAGACATTTGGAGACAGAGTGAAGAACTGGATGACGTTCAACGAGCCCAGAGTGACGGCTGCTCTCGGTTACGACAATGGCATCTTTGCTCCTGGGAGATGTTCAAAGACATATGGCAATTGTACAGTAGGGAATTCTGGAACCGAACCTTACATTGTTGCTCATAACTTGATCCTCGCTCATGCTACCGCGGTCCAGAGATATCGAGAAAAGTATCAAGTTAGTGACTTACACACTTTTGTTTTCACTTCATAAGCTCGACATTCAAGTTAATCGTTGCTTTGCGAATTTGGGTTCCAATTCAGGAGAAACAAAAGGGAAAGATTGGAACTTTGTTGGACTTTGTTTGGTATGAACCCCTGACTAGAGGGAAAGCTGACAACTATGCAGCTCAAAGAGCCCGAGACTTCCACATTGGATGGTACATTGTAGTTCTTTCTCTTCTTCTAGTTATGTGTTAGTGAACTTCTAACTGATAAAGTTATGGTTTTATATTCACTATTTGTGGCAGGTTTCTTCATCCCATTGTTTATGGTGAGTATCCAAAGACAATGCAAGAGATCGTCGGGGAAAGGCTGCCCAAGTTCACAGCAGAAGAGAAGAAGATGGTTAAAGGGTCCTTCGATTACATCGGTATCAACCAATACACAGCATATTATATGTATAATCCACATCAGAAGCAGCCCAAGGTGTTCGGCTACCAGCAAGACTGGAATGCTGGATTCGCCTGTAAGGATGTTCTATTTTCTATTTCTTGAGATAGTGTTAATGTATTCTCCCCTTTAAAGACTAAAGCTCTGCTGTTATTGCAGTTGCAAAAAATGGAGTCCCTATTGGCCCAAAGGTAATTCTTCTTTCCTTACAGACTACTTCTGATAATTGAACTTGGGAAGATTGATTTCATGGCACGAAAAGACTACGGCTTCATAACATTTTGTTTCTGCAGGCGCATTCCTATTGGCTCTATAATGTTCCATGGGGATTGTACAAGTGTTTGATGTATGTCAAAGAACGGTATGGGAACCCTACAGTTATCTTGTCCGAAAATGGTAAGCCCTAAAGGCTCAAGTTATGAACATATGAAACAAGGCTTACCTAGAAGTGTACATTTTTCCTGGATTATGACGGATGATCTCTTGGTTGTAGGTATGGATCAACCTGGGAATGTGACGCTTCCCAAGGGGTTGCATGACACTGTAAGGATCAACTACTATAAGGGGTATCTTGCACAGTTGAAGAAGGCTGCTGACGATGGAGCCAACGTGATAGGCTACTTTGCCTGGTCATTGCTCGACAACTTCGAATGGCTATCAGGCTACACTTCCAGATTCGGGATTGTCTATGTCGACTATAGCAACCTCAAGCGTTACCCAAAAATGTCAGCTTACTGGTTTAAGAAACTACTTGATCGTCGCAGCAAGCATTGAACGAACCATGAGAGTTTCTTAGATATGGAAATCAGTTTTCAAGAGAGAATAAGGATTCCCCCTCAGATTAATTCTGGACACTGAGACGGATGCTTCTCTTAGTTTGGATTAGCAATGAGACGCTTTGGTCAGAAAAAATCAAGAAAAGCTTCCTTCTTCTTTACTCCAGTGCAAAATGTGGATGAACTGATTCAGACTTGCCATAACTCTGAATAACAAAAGTTGAGAATCGAACTTCCTGCTGCTATATTAGCTGTACAATAATCATGTGTAGCGATTCCTACATATCTAATGATTACATTAGTCAATCTGTATGCCACATTGGTATAGCTTCTGCCTAAATATAGATAACTGAGTCGAGCAACGGTTAGAGTTCTTGAGCTATCTATCGCCTAGATAGCTCGATCGTCTCCATACTTGCACCTTCAAAATTGGTTAACTTCTTGGACATCGAAGCCAGAGGCTGGAAGGACCAAGAACTGGAGCATAATCTGTTCTCTTATATCCCCTTCACTCAAATATACAACTCGACCAGAGCAAGGACGTATTCCGCCGACAGAAACAACGCTGAAAGGTCTTCATCAAAGTACACTATTAACCCCATTTACCACTAGGGACAGTCATCCTGCCTTTCTTTTTGCTTTTGCTCTCCTTGAGAAGCATTGAGACATGATCGATATTTCTGGATGACGAATGATTCTCTCCCCTCAACCACAATATAGCTTGGGCAGCTGCATCCTTTTCAGCTTCTTTCTTGCTGCCACAAGGTTGTCCATCAAAGTTCAAACCATTAAAGATCACTGTGGAACGGAACTGGTTGTTCTTCATTTGCTTCGTCTTATATGAAGGCGATCCATGTCCTGCCCTGGCAAGCAAAGTTTGGAGCTCGTTCTTAGAATTGTCGCCTCCACCTCCACCTGGACTCACCACTCGGATTTTTTGTTTTGGGGCGGCAGGCAGCTGACGACCAAATACAAATCTGCCCTCACATTGATCCTCTGTCACCAGCAATCGGATCGCCATCAACAACTCAGAATAGGACTGCACGTCCAACTCAGGATCAAGAAGCTGCCCCACATTAGATGCAATTAACACAAATTAGTCATTCCCCTTGTCCAAAATTAATAAATGAAAATCACAAATAAGGAGGACACCATGAATGGAGATAGAACAGGATTAAACTACACGGAGAACATTTATGTAAGAAACAAAGTGGTCTTTATGTTGTAGGATTTGGCTCAAGGATTGGTGCCCAAAAGTTCAAGAGCATAGGATACCTTTCAAAGCCCTTGTTTGATGAAGCATTTCTTTTAAAATAAATGCCACAACATGTACCTTTCAAATCTATGGATTTCGCATAATCTGTAAATTTTTAAATGTTACAGCCAAACGATCCCATGAAGCTGGCTGATAATCTTATTGGGTACAGATTTTATAAGCTACAAGAAGGAAAACTTACTTTCTTCTGAATCAGCTCCTCGAGCTCCCTCTTTAAAGTTACATACGTGTCGGCTAATGCAGGCTTCATAAGGAACTCCAAATAGCCTCCAAGCATTTTCAGGTGTCCATCCTGTAGAAGAATGGATGCAAGGCTTATTGAAAGGAAAACATCAATTGCTAACACAGCAAATCAAGTCAATTGCTGGTGCAAAAGAAACAAGAAACTTACCAGTCCACCGCTTGAAACGTTCCCTCCAAATAAAAGGAGTACGGAATCAGATACACCAGTTGAATCCCGGATAAACACGGAATTAACCTTTACTTTCTCATTGAAAACCAACCATGGGTATGGAATTTTCGATACACTGCCATTCACTGAACTCTGTGGAATACCAGGCCATTGCCAAAAGATATGGCAAAGAAAGCAATTCAGTAGCAAGATCGGGCTAATATCACGAGATAAATTAGGATGGGGAGAAACAGATAATGGAAGATTAAGTAGGGGTTACCGAATACAGGAGCACTTGACCGTCCTCCATTGTCTTCAGCGCTATTGACTTCTCCCTGTTCTGCATAAACACAAATATATCCATGCACAAACAAATTAACCTCGCTCCATAATCAGAGGAAAACGAACTGAAGTTAACAGAGAGTCGTATGAGACTGACCACAACAGAGCATATTCCAGGGAACAGTCCAGCACAGATGACGGCTCGGACAAGATTCACATCTTGGCTCCATGTATTGCAATTTTCTGGATGCTGCTGATCAATCAAATTCGCATCTTTAAGCAGGAAAAAGAATTGCTTGCGAAGAGAGTCAATGGCTTTCAGAGTCTGTGCTGAGAGAAAATTTCTCCAGCAGTACTCATAACCAGACTGATCCCTCTCAGCATTCTTCCACCCATCATAGGCTCGAACAAGGGTAAGATGGTCACTGTATTCATTAGCAGCAAACTGTGCTTTTGCAGACTCTGCAAGCTGCAAAGGAATGGGATAGTAAGCGTAATGTTTTCTCCAAGAATGGGATGATAAGAACATTAGTAAATGATTGCTGTGTTGAGAGTTTGCAAGATTACTAACATCCTTCTTATCAAATGGCATCAAGAACGGTTCTCTGACACTAAGACCAGCAACCACAGTCATTATTGGATCCAGACACTTGAATATGGCGCCTAGGATCAGCATTTTTCCAAGCTTCGGCTCAACTGGAAGCACTGACAACTGTTGACCTGCGGAAAACTCAATTCAAATTTTTAAGGTTCATTATCTACAGCACGGAGTGATTGATATATTGAAACGGCAAAAAGACAACAGGTCTTTAAATAAAACCAGTACCTAGTACTGTTAAGTTTTCCTTCTCATCTAGTGCCCCAATCACCTTTAAGTATTCAACAGCGTTTTGAACCTAAAAACAAATGGACATTCAATCAAGTTGATCTAGATGAATTACCAAAGGCTATGAGACATGAAATACAGAATGTCAAACTCGAATAAGGCATACCGATAATGCTTCTGGAGCTTGCAAGGCCTGAGATAAGAACTCTGAAATACTTCCCAGCTGTAGACTTTTTATTTGTAGACATAGGGACTGTAAAGGTGTTCGCAGAAGTTCGGGCAGCTGATAATCAGAAAAGGCATCATAAACACATTTGGGATAGAGATGATAACATTCCCCAGGTTGCACACGACCAGCTCTTCCCCTTCTCTGAAAAATTAACAAACAAAAATATAACTAATCAGTTCAGAAGATGATCTCTTACTACCGTGTCCCAAGGAAACAGGTGAAAAGACGTTGAAATGATTCATATTGTGAAGCCAACTTATCAACATACATCACATTTCTTAGGCCATATCCAAACAACTCAACATTCTTTTTATGACATTAGGGCTTACTTGTCGTGCAGAAGCTTTTGAAATCCAGGTGGGAAGCAAACAAGGAGTATTGTTCAATGCATCATAGGATGTCTCTTTCGCTTTCCCACAGTCGACAACGAATACAACATCATTGATGGTAATACTAGTCTCAGCCATGTTAGTGGCTAAAACAATTTTCCTCAGACCATCTTCAGGTTTATCGAATATTAGTCTCTGGATGAGAACAAGTGAGAAAAACACAGAAGATTGTAGCCTCCAAATCAGTAATAAGAACAATAATATCAAGAGAACAATCAAGCAGGTAGGAAAGAACAACGGAAAACCAGCAAAAGGCAGAGGTTTCAAACAACCAATAAGGGGTTAGGCGAATGTAAACTTCACTGAGAAGTAACTATGTCAAATCCATCTCAAACCATATATGATACATACCTGCTCAGAGCTTGCCATGGAGCCATGGCACGCAAGTAATAAGACTTTGCTTGGATCGCCCAGCACCGGATGAGCTTGCAGCTGATCCTTTAACGAGTTAATGTCATCCCAACCAGTCATAAAAACCAGCACAGCACCAGGTCTCTCATTTTTGACAATGTGACAAAGAACATGCTCAATGAGGTTAAAACCAATTGAGTCAGGGTTCCAATTGGACAAGGACTCTTGGGTGCGGTGGCTGTAACCCCTAAAGTCAGTAGATTCAACTGTGTCCTGAGAAAAACACCAAAAACAACTTGTGAATCAGGAAACTCAAACGAGAACCTGATAACGGCATTGAAGACAGTTTACAAACTAACTACCTCCACAGCAGAAGCTATTTGGCTCTTCCTCTTCCTGAAACCTTGAGTTTGTTTCTGCATCTTCCATGTCTTTTCTTGACCATAATCATCGATTTGGTTATTCAGAGTCAATCTATATCCAGTGGTTTCTAAAATATTCTCTAGAAATTGTGCCCGTACTGGATAGGTGAAGCCCTGAAAACATGAAGTACATTTGACCCAGACAACAAGAGTGTCAGTGCAATCAACAAGTTGTCCCTCGGATTTCGAGTTGCAATTCAACGAAGTAATTTTTGAAAAACAAGAGAACAACAACAAAATCAGAGAAGGAACAGAACACAAACAAAAAGAGCAGCTTAAGCATCTCATCACCAACGAATTAAAAAACAGCCTATTTTCTTAGCAACCGTGCCAGTTGGAATACCATCCAGTTGGCAATGATAGTAATCTTGAGCACTGACCCTAATTCTTCTTTTCAGAAGTTGATCGCATAAATAAGCACCTTAAGCCTATCCTAGAAAACAGGTAGACAAAATATCCAGCGTCCCTTCTTCTCAAGGGAGTCACCTTAAAGCTTGTCGTTACATAAATCGGGTTAATGGAACTTCCGCTACTGCGCTACATATTGTATGCATGTACATGGACAAGTAGTTCCACTAAAGAACTCTTTTGCAATAACTTTAGGTAACGTAACCCACCACACTTGCAAACTAGTAAAAGTTTATCGTAACTACTGATTCTTCCGGCTGGTTGGCCTTAACACCAAGTACCCTATCAATTCACCACAATTTGCGGCAACAAACTTCTTTTACACATGCCAGCAGAGAAACATCTTAACTAGTTGAACTCGTGTTTAAGTTTAGATAGCAAATGCTAGTAGTTTATGACATGATGAGTGAGTGAGGTAAGCCTTTAACAAAAACCGAATGAAATTTTCCGGATGAAATCAGTAACTTCAAAGTCAACTAGTGAAACCATAAAAAAGACCACATTAGAACCAGACAATATATTGGTACCACATTACAGCGAGCTTCATCAGCATAAGAACTTACAGGAATGTGGAGTGTTGGAGCACCGCCAAAATAGGAAGAGAAAAGTTCAGCATTCAGTGTTGCACTCATCAAAACCAATCTCAAATCAGGTCGACGAGGAAGGAGATCCTTCAGAACAATTAGAAGGAAATCTGCAGAATTCACAGTGTTTAAGTACTCAATCATATAAGTGAATCTTTTAATATCCAAAGGGTTTACCTTCATTCATGCCTCGCTCATGAATTTCATCAACAATGACATGAGTTACGCCTCTCAAGTCTCTATCAAGAAGTAATCTCCTTAACAATACCCCGGTGGTGCAGAAAAGGAGGCGTGTATCTTTTCCTTTCATTCCCTCCAAGCGAACCTTGTAACCAACCTACGAACAGGAAAGAATGGAAACAACAAGGACCTATAACACTTCAGGACAAAGTTTTTTATAAGAGGAATGTACAAAAACAAAACAGAGCTAGAGCCTCACCGATTCACCAAGTTTCTCTCCTCGTTCTGCAGCAACTCTTTCAGCGACAGACATAGCAGATATTCTCCTTGGCTGAGTACATATGATATTACATACAGCACCTCGAGCAGCTTCGATTTCAGATTCTAGTATATACTGTGGGAGTTGTGTGGTCTTCCCACATCCAGTCTCACCAGACACAACGATGACCTGCAACATTTACAACATTCAATCACTAAATATAAAACGCCAGATTCCATTCCTTCAATTCAAGTGTATATCATGATCCACGTTAGCAACAATTAGCAAAGGAGAAAGTAAAAGCATAAAACGTCTGTTCCTGTCCAACTCTATTTAGAATCCACAAAGGTAAGTTCCAACAAGCTATCATAAGAATGCTCCAATACTGACACAGTTCTCGAATTAATTCTGACACCAGCAGCTCCTGCCACCATCCTCGCTAACCTTTCAGATCATCCCTACGGTTCAGCTACTCGTATGATCATGCAATAGTTTGGAAAGGCGAAAATGTTGACTCATACAATTCTCTTTTAAATTTTATGATACAGTTAACTACTTGATTAAGTCAAAGTCAAGAAGACTAACTACTTGCATATTATTAAGGAAAAGAATACAACATTCTTTTGACAAGGATCACATAGTTAAAAAGAACATCGGGATGGGTCAATTTAGGTAAAACCCTCACAAAATATACCATAATCTTCAAATCTTATGTCGGACTTTACTTCACATAATTTCTATATTACAGAGAGAAAAGGTGAGAATCTACTCCTCACGACAACAATCAGGCTTCAGAGAAGAACCCAGCTTGAGCATATAGCAGAAACTTAAATCAAAATCAACTATAATAACAAGAAAACAATCACCTGATTTTGAGCAAGTGATTTCAATAATGCATCCTTTTCTTTATATGCAGGAAGACTTTTACGAAAGTCAATCATCTTTTGGCCCTCAGGAGAATCCTACAAAAGAATGTCATGATGATAATTTAGTGCCAGCCCAAAGTATTAGTTAGATTGATATCGGTTAAACAAGAAGCTGAAACAAAATCGCAAAGCTTTTCCAGTATTTGTTCCTCCTGCACCCAAGTTACTAGAGCATAATGATTAATGTCGATTAGAAAGAAGTGAGGGATTAAATCAATAAAGATAATTGCATTTTAATGCATAATGAACAGGCACAAAGCGAAGTTAAGCAACATTTAGCAAGAAGTGTAACTTTTCGAGATTCTTGAGGAAGCATATGTAAGGCGGCTAGATAAATAAAGTAACCATAAGTCAATCTCGAACTATTTCCATTCACGCTTTATGAAAGACAGAACCTAAGTAATTAGCAGCAAGGAAATACCAGCCATTCTTGCTGCTGATCACGCATTTGCAAACTTTTACGACGATACATTCGTTCACGTGTTGAAATATCCGGTAAAACGGGCTCTCGCTGGCCATTTACTGTCTCTTCAGAAGCCAAACTCCCACCGCTACTCGACCTCAAAGAGGAGGTAGAAGACCCTCTGCTTAATGACTTTTTCGAAAGGTGGGAATTGAGATGAGCCGACACTTCTCTTTGCACTCCAAATGGTAATATCACCTACATTTCTCAAGAACATCAGTAAACAAATGTCCAAAACTAGTTGTGACAAGTAAATTCAAAGAACCTACAAAATACACCTAGGAACTACGAAAGAGCAACTACCAGGCATGCAAAAGTAATACCTCTCTCAGTGGCCGTTTATCATCGAGATCAGGTCTGTAGTTAGGCAGAGGATTTTTGCTAAAGACGACAACTTTTGAGTACTGACGGCTGAAAGGAGTAGAATAGAGCTAAGGAAATGTCACAAAACTCAACTACAAGCCAAAATGAAACAAGCAAACACAATATTGCAGCTTTCAAAATAAGCAAAACCTACCCATATAAACCCATTCGCTCAGCCACAGCAGAGATCTGCTGAAAATCTCGCCTATCCTTTTTTTCCCTGGATACAACTTCTTGCTCGCCTTTGTTGCGCATTAGCATTGTCAGCTTCCATCTCCAATCCTCCAAGTTTTCAAGCGTTGAACCACTCTACAAAACAAAACAAAAAAGGAATCTCCATCAAATTCAAAACGAGCTGCAGGGATAGAAATAAGCAATCCAAAGAAACCAACCATCGACGACCCAGTTTCCGGCTCGGACTCATCGCTGGACTCATCCTGGTAAGCATACCGGCCGTAATTCAGGCTCCGGGGATAGAAATTGGGGATGGCAGCAACCTTCCAATCCAAAATTAAAGGAGAAGATCCCCTAAAACCCCTGCTGCTATAAACGTCACCGCCGCTCAAGCACCGTCCATTTCCAAGCTGTCTCAAATGGGGAGGAACATAGACGGAGGATGAACTAAGAGCCATGAATTGGCGGCAAGGGAAGGAGGGTTTTAGCGATGCGACAACACGATGAGCGCTCCGCCGGCAGCGTAGAGGAAGAGCAACGGCGGAGCAAGTGGGTCTTAAAGAAACGATGACAGTGGTGGGTTTCACACAGCCCTGGAAAATAGCTGAGTAGGAAGGCATGGTTTGTTCGCCTACGGTTCCAGAGGGGCGTTTTTGGCTCGGGTTTTAGATAAGAGTTGGGGTTTGTCACATTGAGCTGGAATAGGGTTTTGGGGGGCTGGGTCGGTAGCTCACGGAAAGAACTGTTTGTTTAGAGTTCGCTGCAGCAGCTGCCGACTGTTTCCTTCTTTCTCTCCGATACAACGGAACTCACGGAAGACGAACAAATGGAAAAATGTAGGCAGGCAGGGCAACTCCAGTTCCTTCCTGTGGCTCAAGACTTAGACTCGTTGCTCAGGCTGGTGGCTGGCCGCGAACACAAACAGAGCGATTTTCTTCTTTTGCTTTCCGTCTCTCTCTATTTATATACTCCTTTTCGATCTCTAGTTGGTGGGCTTTAAGTCCTACAATTGTAGGGCTCTACTTGCCTAAAACTAGGGATGGCAATTGGTCGGGTTGGGTCGGGTTTTGCCAAACCCAAATCCAAACCCATGGGTTTATCTTTGAAAAAAATTCGGGGTAAAACCGACCGGATTTGAAAAACTCAAACCCAACCCAACCCGTTGGGTATCCGCGGGTTCATGGGTACCCACGGGTTTTGTCGTAAAAATTTTACAATTACAAGTTCTTATCAAAATTAAAGTCAAATATCAATCTCTCAATATAAATTATCCATATATAAAACACCATTCTAGAAAATTCAAGCAAATCACAAATTAACTATACAAATTGTTCAACACCAATCTAGAAAACTCATGAAAATTGAAGCAAATCACAAATTATCCATAAATAACATGTTTAATTGAAAGCTTCTTTCTTTCAATTAAGTTTCTTTAGTCTCCACTCCATAACATCAACTTCATTCTACACAATTAAAAAGAAAAAATTAGACATGTCTCCACAAACATAAATAAGAATAGTTGTTTAGAATATTAAATATACCGAAAAATTAATTATATGAGTGGGCGGGTACCCACGGGCCGGGTTTACCTAAACCCAAACCCAACCCAACCCGGTGAATAGTGAACGGGTTTAAACCCAAACCCGGCCCAAAACCCGTCAACACGGATTTTACCCGCGTTGACCGGGTTGGGTCGGGTGGGTACCCGTGGGTTCGGGTTTTGTTGCCATCCCTACCTAAAACAAGATAGTTGGCTCAGTTTAGAGGTGGCAATTTCAATCCAATCCACCAATCCAATCCACCAATCCAATCCATCAATCCATTAAAAATATCCACCTAATCCAATCCATTTAAATCCAATCCATTTGATCCAAATCCAATTGGATTGGTGGATTCATGGATTGGATCCATGGATCATTGGCAAATTACGGTTTAGTACCTACAATTTTTATTTTTTACATTTTGGTACCTAAAATTTAATTTTTTATACGAAAAATATCATTGGAAAATTACGTTTTGGTACCTAAAATTTTCATTGTGACATTTTAGTACCTAAACTTTTTACATTTTACATATTAGTCCTTGGTTGAGGATGTCATTTGGATTCATGGATAATCCACCAATCCACTTGATCCAATCCATGAATCCACCAATCCATTAGATCCAATCCATTTGATTCATGGATCCACTAATCCAATCCACCAATCCACCAATCCAATCCATTTGCCACCTCTAGCTCAGTTTGTGTTTGGGCTTCAAAGTTCAAGCCTTAAAAGATATTTAGTTATGTAAGGTTAACGCTAATAGTAAAGTATTCAATATGATATTTGTGTTCTAAGGGGTCGTTTGATTTTGGTGATTGTTTGGTTGTGATAGTTACAATACATGCATTGTTCATAATGCATCGTTTTTTTGAATTTTCTGCACAACCAATGCATGCATTGTTTGCTTGATGTGACACAAACTATCACTCAAAATGAGTGATAGTTAAATCTCAAGCTTTTGGTGAGATTGTTTGGTTGAGATATTGTTGTGTGTGTTTTTCTTCCAATTTTGTCCCTACCTTTTTATGTGTCGTGCTTTTTTATATTACAAATAAAGGGTAAAAGTGACATTTCATCCAAAAAGTAATATAACATATTTAAATAACACAATAACTATCACATAAACCAAACAATCCAAACTACAATACACCGATTTTCTAATATACATGTATATTATTATGCATGCATTGATGACAATGCATCTATTTAACTATCACCAAAACCAAACGACCCCTAAATTATATTTCGTTAGAGTTTATTGGCGTTAACTGTTAATTTTAAATAAAAAGTCTAGTCAGGGTTGAGGTGGCATTTGATATGGAATTTGATTATTTATTTTCATTTATTTTTCATAAAAAATAAATAAACTAACGAAAGGGAATTAAAAAGCAAAAACTCGGATCTGTAGATCTGTATCCCCGGGGAAAAAGATGAAGAAGTTCCAAAATTTCTCACTTTCCCTAACAGAGGTAAAAGAGAAGAAGAGAGACTTATAGAGAGCATAGTTCGAATAGCACACTACAGAGTCCTCTGCATCCTAACCTTCCTCCTCTCCACTTTCTTCATAGAATTTACTTTCTACATCCTCAACATATTCCACTCTGCCCTCAAAATCTCAGCCTGAAACCTCCACTTCTCTTCCTCCACTACCACCACCACCACCGTGCTTTCTCTGTCCTCAACCATCTCGCGCCTCTTCTCCCCTCCCAATACTTATTCCTCACCTTCGTCCCTCACCATTAGGATTTGTTGAATCTCTCAATTGATCCATCTACTAGCAGCTTAGTCTTAAAGATCCATTTGTTTCCAATCAATTTGTTTCCCATAGGACAGTCCACTATGTCCCATGTGTGATTTGCTATTGGAGCTTTCAATTCCTCTCTAGTTGTTCAAAGGTCTGAGGATCTTGTAAGTTGGTTACTGCAAGAGAGTAATGCTTGTGTTGTTGACTAAGCTGTGAAAAAACCATAAAAGAAGTTTATTGGCTACTTGCTCTATGAGCTTCCAACAAAATAATCTTGATGCCATAATGGAGGATTGGTTGCCCGAGTAGACTTCCTCAATGGAGGAGTTTGATTTTGATTTGGTGATGATTGGTGTACTGGTGTTGTCCCCCCTTCTCCTTCTGCTTCTTCATTATCCAGGAACTCAATATCATTTTCATCCATGGTTTCAAAGCTGATGAAATCAGGTGAAGTAGGAACAGTAGGAACTATATGAGTAACTAAAGCATGACCTGTATGCAAATGATCATCTGTTGGGGATTGGGTAGGAAGTTAATTTGGTGAGGATGAAGGGGCAGAAGGAGAGACGATGGTTGGTAAGGTAGCAGGTGAAAAGGATGTAGTGGCAAATGGAAAAATAATTTCATGGAAAGACACATCTCTGGAGGCAAAGACCTACTTAGTGTGCAAATTATATACTTTGTATCCTTTGATTCCTGGCAGAATGCCAAGGAACATTCATTTTCTAGATCTAGGCTGAAATTTGGTTCGTCCTAACTCCAAGGTAGAGGCATAGCATAGTGAACCAAAAACTCTAAGAATTGAGTAGTCTGGTGGTTTGTTGTATAGCTTCTAAAAAGGTGTTTTGTTGTTAAGGATAGGTGTAGGTAGTCTGTTTAAAATGTGTACTGCATATAGCACACAGTCACTCCAGAAAGACATAGGGACATTGGACTGAAATTTTAAGGCTCTGGCTATGTTAAGGATGTCCTGATGTTTTCGTTCTACTCTTCAATTTTGTTGTTGCCTTTCAACACAGGACATTTGATGGGAAATACCATGATCTCTAAAGAAATCTGTCATATGAAACTCTTTCCCTTGGTCGGTTTTGATGGCTTTAACTGGTTTATCAAATTGTTTTTGAAAACCATGGTACAGAATTGTTGTAAGAGTGGTCTGGCCTGAGATTTGTTTTTCATAAGGTAAACCCAAACTGCTTTAGAGAAATCGACTACAATGATAAAAAAAAAGTATGAAAAACCATCATAAGAAGGAGTGTTCAAGGGACCCCAGATGTCACAATGTATGATCTCAAAAGGTTCTGAGCAATTATGAGAGCTAGAAGAAAAGGGTAATTTCTTTTGTCTGGCAAAATGACAAGTTTCACAGTGACTAATAACATTTGCTGGAATTTCAGGATTACATTTCTGGAAAAGTTTAACTCTAGAATTAGAGAGATGTCCTAATCTAGCATGCCACAAATGCATGTCTTCATTTTCAGGTCTGCTCACTGTTGCCACTAGGTTGATGTTTGGTTCAGGGCTAGGAATGGATGTTTGAAGTTGGTATAGTCCTCTAAGCTCTCATACAAAACCAATCCTCTTCTGTGTATGAAGGTCCTGGACAACACAGAACTCATATTGAAAGCTTGGAGTGATTGGTAGGGTTTTGGTTAAGGAACTGACAGAAATGATATTGAAAGTGAAACTGGGGACATGTAGAACACTGTTCAGGACAAGGTTTTTGTTAATTTTGACAATTCCTATATATGCTACTTTGATTTTAGCATTGGTTGGTAGGGTGACATATAGGTTTTCTACTGGAGGGTATGTTGTGAAAGAAGCAAGGCTACAACACATGTGGGCAGATGCTCTAGTATCAATGATCCAATTATTCAACAATTCTTTATGTTGACAAGTAGTAAATATGGACAATATATATATACCTGCATTGTCTGGCATCTGGTTGATGTTTCTTGATACTGAGTGAGCCTGAGGTTGTATATTAGGTTGATGTGTTGTTGAAGTTCCAACATTCTGCTGCAGTAACATCATGAGTCTGTTACAATCTTTAGCTGTGAGTTCCAAAGTTGTAGTATTCTGCCTTCTGTTGTCCTGTTCAGTTCCCTCTGAATAATTTGTGTTGCTTTGATCATGAGTGTCACTGGATGTAGCTGCTGCAGCGAAGTTTGGCCCTGCTAGTTCTCCCTTTTTTTCTTTTGAGTCTCCAGCAATCTGCTATGACATGATTGGTTTTCTTGCAGTAATTGCAAAACAAGTTTTTTTGGCTTCCTCCACTTGATTCACTGTTCCCCTTTTGATAGTTGTTAGAGTAGTTTCCTTGAGAGGAATTCTGTTGTCTTACTCCTCTTGGATATACAGTCTTCTGGTCTCTCATTGCTGCTAATGCTGCTGAATCCACTCCAGTTGTATCTTTAGATGGTTGCTTAGCCATCTGTCTTTCCAGTTTCAGTGCATACGTGTATGCAAGCTTTAGATTAGGAGCTGGATCCATCATTAGGAGTTGATTCTTGGTCATTTCAAAAGTATCATTCAGACCAATAATGAAATCAATGGTGTGATCTTGATCTTGTGACTCTTTAACAACAACATAGGTAACACAATTCATAGTATGAGGAGTATCTTCACATTCACATGCTGGAATTTGTTTGAAAGACATGTATTTTGTCCATAATACTCCCATTCTATTGTAGTACTCAGTGACAGTGCTATTCCTCTATTTACAAGATGAAATTAGTCCTTTAACATGAGCCAATCTGATTGAATCTGCTTCTCCGTATATTTCTTGCAGATCTTTCCATAGATCTTGGGCTGTCTCATTTATCCATGACAGCTTCAACAATAGGGTTAATGAGTGAATTGAAAATCCAACCCATGACATTAATGTTACTCTGATCCCAGATCTCATAGTTTGGATCTGTTGCTTGAGGCATATGCAGAGTGCCATTAACAAAACCAAGTTTTTTTTTGTCTTAAGTGCAATTCGCATGGATATGCTCCACACGTGATAATTGGTGCCAATGTGCCATCTAGTTTGATAGAGATGATACCTTGTGGAATTTTTTCATTTGGATTGATGTAATAAGGATCAACAGTTTGGCGTTGAGGTTGCTAAGTAGCTCCAGGTGCAGTAGTTGTGCGTGTGGTTGATGATGTGGTGTCTTACTGGTCCGTCATTGTTGAACGCTGGGAAGTTCACGAACCCCTAAAAGAGGTAAGCCGGCTGCTCTGATACCATGAGAATAATCAAAAAGTGATTTGTAGGAATGATTTCTGATCTCATTGGCAGCAAAGCTGCAAGTTTATGTATAGGAAAAACGAAACTACAGGACAAGCGTCCTCTAACTGCCTTGTCCATCTAAAATGGGACAAGTGTCATCCTATCACTAGTTACAGCTAATAACAAATAATAATAAATCGGGTTAATTGCATTGTTGGTTACTGAGATTACAAAAAAAGTTCAAGTTTGGTCACTCGAAATATTTAAACCATTGGTGGTACTTCAGTTTACTGAAACCGTTCACGTTTGGTCACGCTCCGTCCAACTCCGTTAACTTTTGCTTACGTGGCGGTCAAATCTAAAAGTTGACCGTTAAATGAGTGACGTGGAAATTTACAAATAATAAAATTAATAAAATTAAATTTTTAAAATTGTCATCTCATTTCCACCTCATTATCACTTTTATTTAATAAAAATAATAAAATTAAATATTTTAAAATACCGTACGTAAAATCGCTGCCAGCCTCACCTAGCCTTCCCATTCGCCCAACCCCTTCCTCCTCTACTCCCCTTCCGTCGCCGTCCTGCTCATCATCTACCAATCCGTCGCCGATTTCAACCACCTCTCCTCTGATTTCGGACAGATCCGCGACATGCTCTGGTTATGCTCTCCTAGTGGAGAGAAGAACGGGTGGATTTGGAGCTCTTCGAGTTCCTGCAAGAAAACGACGGGTGGATTTGGGTGCGAAATTCCGGGTCAGATCATTTCCTGGTTCTCGCCCAACCCGCCTGGGACTTCTCCCAGCCTCCAGATCTCGACCCGCTGATTTGGGGGACTTCGTTTTTGGAACTCCCAGAATTCTACAATCTCACGGCGCTTGTCGTCGAAGAGAGGTTATGGTCGTGGCAGGAGCAAGTCGTTCCCTATCTGACATCGTTTCACCCTCCAAATGCCGAGCTCCTGGATTTGTGGATCAATCGGGTCAAGGCCTCCAGGAGAATGTTGTTCGCCGGCGGCGGAGGGGTGTCAGCGCATCCCAATATACGGCGGAGCATAAGGAATGAGTGCGAGAAAACGAGCGATACGTTTGAGAGCAATGGCGGGTGGTATTATTACTCCAAAGTATACGACATTGTCGATTGCGCAATGGGAAATGCGAGCATGACCCGATGCTGGACATGAGGCCCATTTTGCAGTCGACATTCTGCCTTGAAGCAGTTAGTGATTTCAAAGCAGAAGAGAAGCTGCAATGGAAGCGGCAGCTTTAAATGATATGGCAAATGAGATATTGGTATTGGGTATTTTAGGATTTTTTATTTATTTAAAATAAAAGTGATAATGATGTGAAAATGAGATGGTAATTTTAAAATTTTAATTTTATTATTTTTAAATTGCCACGTCAGACATTTAACGGTCAACTTTTAGAGTTGACCGCCACGTAAGCAAAAGTTAACGGAGTTGGACGGAGAGTGACCAAACGTGAACGGTTTCAGTAAACTAAAGTACCACCAATGGATTTAAATATTTTGAGTGATCTAACTTGAATATTTTTTGTAATCTCGATGACCAACCATACAATCAACCCATAATAAATCTGTACAACTAAATCTATACACTGTCATTTCTACTTTCTTCTTTCTTCCTTGTATGACAAAACGACGCGTTGCAGTCTTCCCTCCTTCTTCATTCAACCGTTGTTGAACAGAGGATTCAATCTCATCATCTTCTTCTTCCTTCTACTCAGCTCTGTTTCATGGAGCTTGACAAGGGAAGACATACGAGAGACTGAAGCTCGCCAAAATTGGTAGTTCAGGGTTTAGATTTTTTATTGGGGGAGTGATTCGACGGAGGACGGCGAAAGTGCTGGGGAAAGAGATTTTTGTTAAGAATTTTTTTTCCTTTTTTCCTCTTATTTTTGGGTACATTGCAAGGTTGGTCAGTGGGATTACAAAAAACGTTCATATTTGGTCACTAAAAATATTTAATTTCATTCGTGGTCATTAGATTTAGTAAAACATATCATATTTGGTCACTCTCCGTTAGTCTTCGTTCATCTCCGTTAAAGTTGACCGTTAAATGCGAATGTGGTAGACGGAATCGCGTAATCACCTTTTTTTAACCTGAAAAATAAAATTTGACTCTGCCACATCATGGAAACCTAGCATAACCATGGTCACCCATTGACTCGTGACCCAACCCCTCCTCGAATCCGCCTGCTCCCAAATGCACACCTCCATCTACCTTGGCTCCGACGCTTCCCACCTCTTCAAACTCCCAGGCTCCACCGACTGAAGATCTTCGAGGTTGACCTCCTCGACAGGCTCAACGCCTTACAAGCCGCCGTCGATTCAAATGGCACGCGTCGTCCTCACTTCGTCCATCTCCTGTTGGTTCCAAACCCCAATTTGCCCTCCGGAAATATCCTCGATGAGTCCTCCTGGACCGATCTCGACTATTACAGGTCGCGATAGTTCAGCTTGCCTCCAAATTCAATTAGTTCGAGCCATGAGCCATCCGTGACTGCGTGCAGTCATTCCAATGAGGCTTTTTTCGGTTGCAGAAATGGTATCCGGTGTTGACGATGGCGGAGAGAGCTGTGTGGGGTTTGCGGAGAAGAATGGGATCGAGGAAGAGGAACGGACTTGTGTGGTGGATTTGAGAATGGCATAGGATGTGGAGGGTTAGGAAAGGGGGTCGGGTGGTTGTAGAGATGAATAAAAGATTGGGAGAAGAGATGTTGTTGTTTGCAGAGAGGCGGCCGGTGGTGGTGAAGGTAGGGAGAGAAATCAGGAAGATGGAAGAGAAGGTCGGGTATAATGTGGTTATGTTTAGGTCATTGGTGAGGTGGAAATTTTTCTGGCGTGGTGGTTTATATTTTATTTCAATTTGGGTACATCATCACTTTTGTTAACCACGTCAGCAAAATCCTAACAGTGTTAACGGAGACTGACGGAGACTAATGGAGAGTGACCAAACATGACGTGTCCTACCAAAACTAGTTACCAAGAATGAAATTAAATATTTTTAGTGACCAAAGATGAACGTTTTTTGTAATCCTAGTGACCAACCTTGCAATTAACCCCTTATTTTTGTTAAGAATTTTTTTTCCATAAACAATCTTATGTGTCAGCTGACGTGGTCGTCACATATGTGCCACGTAACCAATGGTCAACATTTCACTGATGACTGTTAGGTCAACCGTTATCTTTAACGGTCAACGAAATCGGCAGGACATAAATGACACAACTATCATACGTCAGGACACAAATGTCATATTGAATAGTTTGGGGCACAAATGATACATTCTTGATAGTTCGGGTTTCCTAGTAGTATTAGTCCTAAGGTTAATTGACTTAATTTTGTACAAAGGATAAGTATGGGATGGCCTCCACTTTAAAAGTCTACATCTACACAATAAATAAAAGCCAAATGAGAAAATTTGAAATCTCATTTCAAATTTCCTGCATCCAGAGTGAAAGTAGGAAGGGTAGATTCGTCTTCAAGATCATTTATTATTTTCTTACTTACAGAAAAATACATTAGTAATGATATTTGAACCGTGGTCCCTTCGAACAAAGATAAGAAACATAACCAGTTAAAATAAATACATTTGTGTGATTTTTTTCAATTAAGAACATACTAGAAGCTTAAATCTGAAAAATCATAGGACTTTTCCACCACAGTTAGCAACCGAAATGTCATTGATTCAAATATTGCATACCGAATTGCACTCTTAAATGTGTAGAAGCGCTGTAGAATTCTTAACATAGACTTAATTGTTATAACTATCATAAAGTAACAATACTTTTAAACACATAACTTTTGAGTGAATATGGGGCACATGTGTCTTTTAAGAGAGGGGTATATATGGAAAGGTTGAGTTATGTTGCTATGGCGAACCCGGATGGAAAAGACACTACTTATGTAAACGGGCCATAATAGTGCCCCGACCCACTAAACTGCACCATCTGCGTCTCTCCAAACTTCCCATTAGACTCAACACCGACTAACCTCCTCTGCTTCTATTTTTACGCCAGAGGAATATTTAGAGGGGTAAATATGGAAAGATTGAGTGTTGTTGGTTTGCCCAATGTGGATGGAAAAGGCGCTACTAATGTAAGCAAGCTCAAATAGTATCCGACCCACTAAACGCTCAACCACCCGGGTTACTTTCGCTACACCTAATATAATAGTGAACTGCGAAATGTGCTTCCCCATTACAAAATCTTTGCATACATAGCAAAAGTAGGAAGGGTAAATTCGTCTTCACAGTCATTTATTATTTTCTTATGCACAGGAAATATACATAAGTGATGGATTTGAATTGTGATCTCTTTGAGAAAAGACAAGAAACATAACCAGTTACACTAAACAAATTTGTTTAAACTTTTTAAATTAAAAACATATATGCTTAAATCTGAAAATCATAGGAATTTTTTTTATCACGGTTAGCTAAGCCACTAACTCTCCCCTAAATATTTTTTGGTATTTGATACTTCCATTTTCATACTTCCATTATTTTAATCGAGTTTAATAATTAATTCTATTTCTATTTATCTTATAAAAGGAGAATAATTTAAAAATCGCAAGTCTAATGTCATTGGTGCAAATATTGCACATCGAATTGCAGTATTGAATGTGTAGAAGCTATGCAGAATTCTTGACATAGACTTAAATATTATAACTACCATAAAGCAACAATATTTTTGAACATAGAAGTATTGAGTGAATTTGGAGCACATGTGTCTTTAAGAGAGGGGTAAATATGGAAAAGTTGAGTGATGTTGGTTTGTTGAATGCGGATTGAAAAGGCGCAACTAATGTAAACGGGTCTAAATGGAGTTCCGACCTAGTAAACGCTCAACCATCCCCGTCTCTCCAAACCTTCTCACTGGACTCGACAACCGCCTAACCTCCTCCACCTAAATTGTTACGCAAAGCAATTTTCGGAGGGATATATATGGAAAAGTTGAGTGTTCTTGCTTGGAGAGCTGACTGGTGGGTTATTTATCTTCTTTTACAGTAATGTGTGATCTCTTATCATAAGTTCATTTGGTTGATCTTCTAGGCTGACTTTTGATTTGATTAAAGATATACAGTGTCTCGGGCTCCCGGCCTACTAAATGCTCAACCATTGTCGTCTCTCCAAACCTTCCCATCAGACTCGACAACTGCCTAACCTCCTCCACCTATATTGTTACGCAAAGCAATTTTTGGAGGGGTAAATATGGAAAGGTTGAGTGTTCTTGCTTTGAGAGCTGATTGATGGGTTATTTAGTTTCTTTGACAGTACTGTGTGATCTCTTAACATCATTTCATTTGGTTGATCTTCCAGGTTGACTTTTGAGTTGATTAAAAATAAATAGCTATACCTTTTGTTGCTTTTGTTATGATACTCATTTTCAGTATCATCATTTTTCTGATTGAAATGTTTTTGTGGTTAGTTTCCGGTAAACAAAGACTATTCTGATAAGTGTTAACATAGGGAATAGCTTCAATCATACCACTTTTACACGAAATTTATATGTAAGAGCTTAGATCATTCCCGAATTGAACTATTCAAGCTATAATGCTGATCTTCAACATATAAAACATGGTTTCTTTTGAGGGGAATAACCTCATGATTGCATATAAGTTTTTACAATATGATTTTTTTTGTGATAGTGGTCACTTTCTTTCAGTTTTAAAAGTTGGATTCTAATTACTACAATATAAAAAGTACGAGTGATAGCCATGATTGGAGCAGATACAAGATGGTTTGATATCCTTCTCTCTGCAAGGAATAAATACATGGTGCGCATATGTTGTCATGGGAAGGACAAACCGAACTCTTTGTGTTTGTAGTATAGCATGTTGATATATACGCATGTCTAGACCCGATCGATTGGACATCTCCACCTGAAATTTATTGACGAGATTTTTTCTCATCAAAACCGCGTGCCAAGTAACTCCCTCCTTAATCCTTATGTTTTTCTTAATCTGCACATGCACACCCTCATAGGAAACATGTACTAAATTGTATTTTGGGTGCTTCATTGGTGTTGTTTCCGTAAGA